ACAGGGCAGCTGTCCAGAGCTCTTGGCTTGATCTCATACTCTGTGGGGGTTCCTATCTGCTCCTGAATCGGTCAGCATATGAACCTTGCTGGTTTTTCTGTTCGTGGACTGAGTGCCTCCTCAGTCCTGATGTTCGGCCCCGCTTCTCTCACCTGACCTCCAACTTCGCTTCTAGATAAGGATTTCTCTCCTTCCGCAGGCTGGCACAGCCCTTCCTAGAGGACCCGCATATCCTTCCAGACCAGAAGGGAAGAGCAGGGCAAAGAAAGGGGAGATCACACCCAGCTGTGAGGAGTCAAAGAAGGCTTCATGAGAGATGCAGCACTTGAGTTGAGCCTGGAAGACTGGGAGGATTTAAGTGGAGGGTGAGAAGCAGAGGGTACAGAGGGCGGTCTGTGTAGAGGGCCCACGACCAGGATCCAGGCCCTGCAGATTCCTGAGTGCCCTTAAAGAGGAGAATGAAGCACCTCCCCTCTGAGCAGAAGAGCCTCAGGCTGCTGCCCTTTGCTACCCAGTGCTCTCCCAAGGCTCTAGGACTGGGGAGGGTAGGAAGACATCAAGACAGAGATACACACAGCACAGAGCCCCAGAGAGGGCAGGGGAAAGAAGGGTAGGAGGCAATATCATTCACCAGGTCTGAGTTTTATTTCAAATACTGATATCACTGACCATACTAATGATATACATGGTGATCCAACCATGTATAAACTATGCACAAGTTTATTTTAATTGAGAATAGGACTCTATCCTGCTATAGGCAGATCTGCTGGGCAGAGCTAAGGGCCAGGATATGCAAAGGAAGAAACTGAAGGTAGCGTGAAGCACCTATGTAGCATCTAGGGCATAGAAAGGCTGAATAAGGACCTGCTGTAGGAATTCAAGAAAGCTGCCTTCTTGTAAGAATGGTCAGACTTGCCCCACCTCTAGGCCTAGCTGTTAGTAAGAACTATAATTGGTAGATTACCTGTCTGTTTCCTTGAAACTAGAGCCTGGGTCACATACTCCTCCATCTCCAGTGCCTAGCGGAGGCCCACTCATTCATTCATAAACAGGAACTGTTTTTGGGTGAAAAGGAGGGAAAGGTGTACTTATCCAGGCCTTCATTACCTTGAATGTGTCTTATTGAAACAGCCTCTCAACAGATCTCCTTTTAGCCTTTCCCCAATTCAGTTCATCCTTCACCCTTCTGAATGACCCTAACAAGGCAACTTCCCTGCTCAAAACCCTCCTATGTCTTCCTTTAAGAATTCAAAACTCCTTATCGTGGGCATTCTAGAACCTGCATATTCCAGCTTCTCTCAAATCACTTATGTCTTTCCCCATACTCTGTGATTCTGTATAGCATCAACATGACACTGGGCCTAGCAGCCAGCCAACCAGCACCTTCTGCCCCCTACCTTTGCTCAGTTTATTCCCTGCTCTTTGGCTCTGGGGGAGAGCAGTGGGGAGACTGCCATGCTGAAGGGTAGAGTCAGCTCCTCACTCATCCCTGACTCCCTCACAAGGGGTGAAGAGAGACTGAGTCATCACGACCAAGAGAGATAGGACAAGAGGAGGCAGGAAAAAAAGCAGTCTAGAAACGGGACATACATGAAAGGCCTCTACAGACCCACACAGACAAGAATGAATGTGGAAAGTCACACACACAATTCAATCCTCTCTATTCTCACAGACAAGAATGAATGTGGAAAGTCACACACACACCAACAATTCAATCTTCTCTATTCTTTGGGAAGGTATTTAACTGCTATTAGAAAAACATGTATTTGAAAGGGCTACAATAATCAACACATGGGAACTCAATGGAACAGGATAAACTCAGCCAGATAATGGAAACGGCTGCTCTGCAAATGCACTGCCTACACAGGAAAGCAGCAGCCTAGACCTTAGCAGTTACCAACAGGTGATTCCAGGGTCAGGAAAGGCCTGAGAAAAGGAGTCCCAGCCAGTCTCACCTCCTCACTCCCTTGTACTGCAGAAGGAAGCAAAGCTCATCTGTTTCTGGGGGGATGAAGATGCCATGCACAGCCTGCAGTTATGAATGGCTCTTATAACAACAAGCTGACATCTGTGCTTGGTTTTTAAGATGCATCATCGCATGTTTATTAAACTATTGCTCTATCATATTTATTAGGCTACGAAACAACTCCCAGCCCATACTTCCAAAAGTGGTTTATTAAAAACTAAGCCTTGAACATTAATACTCAAAAGCACCCTGGAGAATCAATAATAATGCTGCAGATAAAATGAAAAGGAATCAAAGCAGTAAGTCTTGGTGGGGGCTGTAGCTGCCTTTCAACATTTTCTTGTATGTTCAGGCAGCTGGAGTAGGGAAGAGCACCAAGGATGTGTGGGTGGCTGCAGGCCAGCCACCCCAAACACAAGACTTCTTGTCTAAAATGTGGACATGGTAGCAGGGAAGACGGAGTGTCCTATGGCCATCAAGTTCTATACAAAAAAACAAAAGGGGCCATGATTAGGCCCAATGCGGGCCACTAATTTCACTGAGAATAAAACCTCTGCCCCTAACCAACAGTCCCATATTGATACCCTATACTGGCCCCAGTCTGAGCATCCATCCTGGACAGACTCTGCCCTGCCCCTGACACTAGGCTGAGTCCCAGGTTGCGTTCTGCCCCTGTTCAAGAACAAGCCTCAGATCTAACCAGCCAGCGGTTGCAAGGGGCCCAGCTGAGCCAAGGAGAATGGAGGAGTACAGTCAGCCCCTGGGCAGGAGCCCAGCATGTGTGCCCCAGCCCTACAGGCAGGCCTTTCTAGCCCCAGAAGACCCAGCAGAAAGGTCTCTTCCAGTTCCCTCCCAAATCCTCAAGCCTCTCCACAGGCGCCCACTTGTACTCCATCCGGACAATAAGCAGTAACACATATTTCCACAAAGAAAAAAGAACAAATTGGAAGATTCAGTGAAGAATCCACAGGATTTGGACAGGACTCCAAGCCATGCCCTGTGAAGAACAAAACAATGGAAGGATCCAGGGGTGTCTGGGGTCAGAAAGGAGACACGAGGCCCAGTGAGGGAGTCCAGGTGACTCTGTGACTACAGGGTTCAGTCCCCGGCTTAGTGTGAGGATTTTCTCCAAGGCAGTAATCACCAGAGAAAGGGGCTCACCCCACCTAGCCCCTCCTGTTGGGGAGAGCAAGGCCTGGGGCTAGACACTCACCTGCTGACTTCTTGGACATTGTTGGCACGTGCAGCTTCCATCAGGGCTGCATCTGAAGAGAGAGGGGCACAGGTCATATCCCTGGCCAGGACCTACCCCTCAGGGCAGCTTAGAGGGCCCAGTAAGACAGCAGAAGTGGAAGCACTTCAGAAACATGGGCATTAACAAGGGAAAGGATGCCAAGCCACAGGCACACCTCGGAGATAGTGCGGGTTCAGGTCCAGACCACCACAGTAAAGCATGTCTTGCAATAAAGTGAACAGTTAGTTATCTTTTTGCTGGTGGAGGGTCTTGCCTTTAATTTGTTAAAACAAGCAAACAAGCCCCTCCCCCCCCCGCATCTGTAAAGCACATAAAGTGCAATAAAACGAGGTATACCCGTAAGAGAAGGCTAATCATCCCCTGCCCACACGGTGTCCACTGTTAACTTATCTTCCCCATCTTTCTATTACAGAGCCCAAAGTCTTAACTCCTCTCATCACGTAGGTGATCCTGGTAAAACGCTAGCATCATGCGTTGCTAATGGTAAATGCTCAGTGTGTGAATTCCTTCACTCTCCATCAGCTATAAAGCTCTGTATGATTTACATGACTATCACTGTTATTAGTCATTCCTCTATCTTGCCCCCACTTTCTTCACCAACTCGTTTCTAAGCCTTGTTTTGAATCCTGCTGCCACAGGTCACAAACCCAGAGGGAGAGAAAGGACAGAGAGGAGCAGGCAGGACTGTGTACTCTCACAGTAGAGAGAGTCATGACCAGGAGTCAGGTTTGACTCCAAAACACTCTGCCCCTTATTCACCGTGTGCTGTAATGGCCCCTTTCCCTCTCAATCCTAGCTTCTATGATGTAGTGGTAACAATCCTTGCCCTAACAGTCCATAAAAATGCTAAGGAGATGAAATGATGGTTGAAAAAATCTGCAAACTCCTTGATGCCAAGTCCAGTGAAGGGAGACCCAAAGCAGAGGGTTCCAGTCCCTTAGGAATTACCCAGCAGAAAAGCTAAGCCTGGCCTACCCTAGGCAGCCTACAGGCTGTTGGCACCACCTTGTGGCCACAAAGAAAAACTGCCTGATTCAGATACATCTCAAAAGGCAACAGCAGAAGCACTTTTTTTTTTCAAATAGTTAATACCAAATGCTCCTGGAGCACTCTGTGCCCAGCCTCGTTCTGAGCTCCACTGCTGAACACTGGACAGACTCATGCCCAGCCTTGCATCAGGGAGTTCTCAGTTCAGCCAAGAGACTCATCCAGTGAAACATGAGAAGAGACTTTGGAGCAAGGTAGAAAGAGAGGATATGGAGATGGACCCTGAACTCCCATCCCAACTCTGCCACTTACTTGCTGTTATGACCTGGCCAACTCATCTAACCTCCTGAGCCTCTGTTTCCTTATCTATACAGTCGGGATAAGATCGCTACCTTATCAAGAATGTGCAAACCAGTTCTGTAGTTCAGACATTAGTGGCCCCACTCCACTTTCCAGCTAGGACCAGGTCTTTCCTGGTTATCTTCCTCTGACTGTTCTCCAAGCAACACCAAGGCAGCCCCCAGCTGGAAGGGGAACAAGCCTTCCTGAGAGATTGCTGTACCCACTATTCCCTCATTCAGAAAGAAATGGCTTCTACGAGGTCAGAGAGGGAGGGAGGAACGAGTTTAGAACCTGGGCCAACTGGCTCCTAAAGAATACAATTTCTACCACACTGCACTGACGGCCTGAGCTTACAACTCCAAGTCAGTAGACAGGGTAGCTAGCCAGTCAGAAGGGTTGGAAATGATCATGGTTTCAGTTATTATCTACTTTGGTAAACAGACTCTGGTCTCCTTGCTGGGGTTCGCATGCCAAAGAGTCCATTCCAGAGCCCCCAAGAACCTCTAAGGTAAGACCCTGGTCACCCCCAATCCATCTAAACATACCGGCTCAGGACATTCCCTCAGCTCATGAACTTTCCATTGCTCTTCAATAACCTACAGGAGAAATTCTAAACCCTCCTGTCTGACATCCAGGCCCCACTCCATCTGCTCTCGTCTCATCTTAGAGATCCCTGCTCTTCAACCAGACTGGTTACTCTGCTAGCTAGCCCTTGCACACATCATGCTGGCCTGTATATCCCATATCTTTGTTCACTGAAGCCTTTGCTCCTAAGTTCCCGACACTACGGTGGACAAACAATACGAAGGTATAAAGGAGCTGGTATCAACCTGAAGAAAAAGATAAGATGCATTCCCTGTTCTCATAGAGGTCATGAGAACTTTTCATCTCTTGCCTCATCCCTTAGAACTCAAGTTCAAATTTCCCATCTTCCAGGAGTCTCCAATATTCCAGATAGCTTTCCTGACCATGTAGGCCCTCCTCTCCCCCAACTACACATAGACCACTCATCACACCCACAGGCCTAACTGCCTACACTGTCTCCTTAACTTTGTGTTTAGTTAGGAGTTTCAAAACTAGGCACACAGAGGGTATTTGAAACATGCTGAAAGTTACAGAATCATAGTATGCCTAAGCTAGAGTCTCTATTTCAATATCTTCATTTTGTAGATGAGGAAAAGGAGGGCTAGTGAAGAGAAGAGTCCAAAGTCACAGTGGGAATTAGAGGTAGAACCAAAACAAGATCTCATTTGTCCTTACTCCCAGCCCAAGGCCCTTTCTTTATAGCTGCTGAATAAACAAATGTAAAAGCAGTACCCCTCTTGCTCCAAAGTCTCAGAGCTTGGGATGCATAGCATCTATGATCACCATGCCTCAGTTTCCCCCCCTGAGGAACAACGGAGAACCTGAATGGTTGGACTCATGTTGGCCAGAAGTCTGGTTTTTTGCCTGCTCTCCCAGTCACTGCTCAGCTCCATGCACCCAGGTGAGATGCCAAAATGGGTCAGCCAGCCTCCATGGTTACTTTGAGTCTCTACAGAGACAACTTCCTCGTCTTCCTTCTCCTGCCAACTGTCTCACACAGCAAGATCACCTCACCTGCACAGCAAAACCCAGGGAGTCTGATGGACAGACCCAGGATGCTGATCTCCATGAGGAGTCAAATAACAGCACTATAAAGGTAGTGAGAAATCATCCTTTACTGTATAAGTGGGGAAACGGAAGCCAGACAGTAAGGAGGGGTGAGCAGCAGCAAAGCCGGAATTGAAACCAAGTCTCTTTTTCCTGTCTTAGACCACCTTAGAGGAAAACTTCTTTAAGCCATCTAGCGGCTGCCCTTACAACACACCGCAGTTTCATAGAGATCTCTTAAAAGAAGAATTGGACCAAGCAGAATATTAAAGCATAAAAGGACCATGCTCTAATTTTAGATATTTAGTCCAATGCTCCCACTGTACAGATGGACAAAGTGATGCCCAAAGGGAGGCTGAACTATGATGGGAAATTATACAACTCAGAGGCACTGAGCTCTCCAACTCAAACCCTACCCCTGTGACCAGATGTTGTTTGGCTCCCTCCAGGACTCTGCTGTTCTAAATCTATAAGCAATTCCCACCCTCTAAAGATACAGAGTCAAGACACTCCTCCCGCCTCTGAAGCCTCTCCCACCTCTCCCTTCTTCAAACCCAGACTATCCCGATAATCACCCTTGTTGGACGGGCTCTTGCTGTAACAGTGAACGACCAGCGCAGTGGCAAGGGCCCACATGCCCAGTCCTGCCCTGTTGGGGACCCGGTTCCAGCTGTCCTGTCCCGGGAGTGTTTCTTCAGGGCAAGGAAGGCATCCCCATGCGGCAGCTGCGAGGCACTGGGTCTTGGTGAGTCCTCCCTGGCGCCCCCTGGTGGTTGCCCCTCCTTGGGTGAGCAAGGCCAGCGGTGTTCCAGGGCGCCCCCCGATGGCCGCCCTCAGCCACTGCGGCTCCCCCAATCCCCCGGTGGTCACACTCCGGCCGGAGGGACCTCTGTGGCTCCGAAGCGATGGGGACCTAAGAAGCCGGAGGAGGAGCCGCGGCGCCAGCGCTGTTCTCCACAACACCAGGGATCCCAGCATCGTGACAGCTGCTTCGATAATCCCCTGGTGCCGGCCCCTGTGCTGGCCACGTCCAACATGGCTGCCGCGGCGCGTTCGAAGACGCCGCAAACGGGGTGGAATTACGCACTACCTCACGGGAGTGGTAGTCCACAGCCGTAGAGCTTTCCGCAGCTGGAGAACGAATAAACTACAATTCCCAGAAAGCTGTCAAAATCGTGTCACAATGACTGCCGATTTACAGGAGCGCGGGGCATGTTGGGAAACGGAGTTCGTGGGAGGCGTGGTCAGAAGGCAAATGTCAAGGTGGGGCGTGGCGATTAAGATACGAATCATAGAGTTAAAACGCGCGACTCAGTTTCTGGGTAGTGTGTAAGTTAAACAGAGATCTCCTGCAGAGGGCTATTATAGAACGTATACTTACTTCTTGTAGTCTATATCTCTTTTAAGCCTAGGCCAGCTTTTCAAAAAGTTGCCTAGGATAATCAGTACACCTGAAATAGGAATTCCTTTTATTTTCCTACACAGACTTCCTTTTGGTTGAAAAACTGACTCCTGGTCTGGCTTTCTCACTTGTGTTATTTTCAAATGGCTTTCACGTGAGCTATTTTATCTTACCCTCGTGGCAACTGCGTGCGGGGAGCTGGGCAAAGACTATTATTTCCAACTTCAGGGAAGGGAATTGAGGTATGTAAGTATGTATAGATTGAGATATTTCATATATTACCCATTTCTGTCCCCTGAGAGGGTCTAGAAGCAAAGACACCCTAAACACTGAATAAAACTAGCACTCAGATCTAAACACCATTCTCCAATAAAAGAAACAAGTTCTCCTTGGAGAAATGGTTGTTTTCAAGACTGAAGCAGGGAAAATACAAGACAGAAATCGTGCTCTCTTTGGCAGCACATATACCAAGATGAGCCAGTAATATTTTGCATGCAGAAAAAGAAAGACTCAAAACCAGATGCAGGCTTGTCAAAGAACATAGAAACCAATGTGAAGGAGTTCCTAACGATCGAAGCTGGAACAATTAAGCAAAAAATAATGATAGTTATGGGGATTTTACCCATGAGGCCATACTGGCATAAATAACCAAGTAATCAAATGAATGAATAAATAAATG